AAATTTGACCTTTTTAGAGAGATTTAGCCAAAAACCCCCACTTCTGGGGTAATTTGGGTGGATTTGACCTATCTCTGGCCCCCCTTGGTCGATTTGGTTGGTTGACATACCCTTGTGACCGTTAGAGCCAATAGAATCGAAGGGGGAGGCACACACCCACACACGTTGTAAAGAAAAAATGTGGGCGCTTCGCGTGTGGAAAACGAAAGCAAAGTGGAGGAATGTCTCCTTCTGGAGTTTGGAAACTAAAACGCAGTTGTATTGCTTATGGATTATCAGAAATAATTTCAAAGAAGGCACAGACACATAGGATGAACCTATGGATTAACTGCAGCATCGTTTTTTTATCGTTTTAATGCCATTGAAGACCACTTTTGACCAAGGTAAGCCATGTTTACGTGTTTAGCTACTTAGCTCCACATGTGATGATGTACGCTTTCGTTTATAGCGTCGCGAATGTTTATCAGTGAGTGTTGAGGAGGGCACCGTTAGATTCAGTGTCTCCAGGACACCAAAAAAGAGTGTTTGGTTGTGCATCTAGGATAAGTAATAAGGGAGTTCTGAGTGAGTTTAAGTGCCGCATTACGTTCCATGTTTTCGCTCGTGGCTAATTCAGAGGCTGAGTGCTAGCATTGTGGGTTTTTTTTGAAAAAAAAAATTAAAAAGATCAGTTAGCTGAGTTTCTTCCCGTTACATGGATATAACACATTCATAGTTTTATTCAATATTAAGATTCCTTAGACGTTGTTTCCTGCAAATGACGCGTTTATCCGCCCGGTACCGGGCGGAAGGTGCGTAACAGGTTAAGAGAGGAGAGAGTATCGAGATCATTTTCACTCAACTCAAGAATTCAAACCAGATGACATCTCCAAAGTTGGTCTTTTATCTGACGTGTTTGTTCTTGGGAAAAATCGGTGAGTTGTATTTTGATGCCGCTCACCTTTTTAGCTACTTTTCATTGAAATGCTTTTAATATGTTTTTATTTAAACAATGTGCTGAAATAACCTATTGTAATTATTAAAGTATGTCTTTCACTCTAATTTCAGCTCTGACGACTAATCGGAAAATATCTTTAAGTGTTCAACAAGAGAAACGTTTTATATCTGCTAATGCTGGAGGAAATGTGACTTTGCCATGCTACATTGAAGATGATGATACAACTTGACTTTACCTGTTTCAAACAAACTCTGGGACAGAAACCAAAGCTCATCTCTACCACCTATAAGTATAACGCAAAACCCACTTTTTTATCATGAATTCAACAAGTCACGCTTCACACTTGATCACGGAAAAAGTACAAATCACTTGACAATTTTAAATTTGCACATTTCAGACTCAGCTACTTACTACTGTGTATCTGCCGTTCAATATGAGTTGAATTTTGCAGAAGGCACTACAATCAGTGTCAAAGGTTCTGGTTTGAGCATCCCACCTTCGGTCCATCAGTCAGAATCTGAGATCATCCAGCCAGGAGACTCTGTGACTCTGAACTGTACAGTACACACTGGCAGCTGTGATGGAGAACACAGTGTTTACTGGTTCAACAACTCTGAGGACTCTCCAGGACTCCTTTACACCCGTGGAGGCAGTCAGTGTGAGAGGAAACCCAACACACAGACACACACCTGTGTGTACAACCTGCCAATGGAGAGCCTGAATCTTTCTCATGCTGGGACCTACTACTGTGCTGTTGCCTCATGTGGACACATACTGTTTGGAAACGGGACCAAGCTGGACTTTGAAGGTAAGCAAATCTCTATGTCTTTCTTATGTCCATTGTATTAAAAACTTGCTCAAATATTAAATGGACACGTTGATCTTGAGACAATACATCATGTATATTCACTTCCTCATAGCAATATCTATTTTTTACAATATTCAGATCTCTTTTTAAACATTTTAATCTTGTTCTAAACCACAATAAAGAAATGTGCATTGTACAAGAGTATGTAGCTTTGATGTACCTTCTCTGATCCACACACTTATGGAAATCTAATAGATTTAATATAGCCGTTTGACTACTTAGGACAGGGGTGTCCACACTTTTTTCTGTGAGGGCCACATACAGAAAAAGATACAAAGGGCTGGGCCGCTCACTAGAGGTGAGGCATATTGCCTTATCAGTGAAGTTATAAGTTAGCAAAATCAATCAAATGTAGGTAAATCACGCTTGATACTTGAAAATGCTGTAAGAAACACAACAGCCTACATCACAGCTCTCCATAGGGTTTCATTTATTTTCTTTGCAGCTCATTCCTTAAAACAGAAGCTTCAGATTAGTTATAAAAGGAGGAAATATAAAGGGTAGATTTCAACTTGTTATGTAATTAAGTAATTGGGCTTTTCTTTATCAACTAAGATTTGTTTGAAAATGTTCCCAACTTTAATTGACAGAATTTATTTGAAAAGTGGGCTTATTAAAACATGAATACTGTGTAATATCTTTGTACATATACATTTCAGAAGTAAGATATATGACTAGCACAAGTTTAATTTGTGGGCCATATTTCATTATACTTTTTGAATTAGCTGGGGGCTGTTTCAAAATGTTTGGCCCGCGGGCCGTAGTTTGTACACCCCTGACTTAGGAGTTTAGTTATATTGAATATATTGACAGACAAAATGGAGACTGAACAGAAAACCAGTGTTCTGTACTCCAAAGCAGGATTTGGGGTTAGAGAGGTAACTCGAGGGTTAACTCTGGCTTTTCCATCCTACAACACTGGTTCACTTCTTACCAGGGTAGATTGTAAATACGTTTTTTTCTGCTGTAAAGTTGGGCATTTTACCATGGAGGTCAAAGCGGATTCATTTGCTTTTTAAGCCAGCATCAAGAGGCCATTCAATGAACTGCAGTTTTCTTTCTCCCTTGCGTTACCTTAATTTTTCAGCACAAGAAGATGATGCTTGTCTACGACATACAAGACACAAAAAGGATGTGCAATGCATATTCACTGGGTAACAGACAACAGTTTCCATTTGTACTTAGGATTGCTCACACAAAACAAATATATAGTGTGTATAAAGCAGTGACGTGCGGTGAGGTTCATGGCTGGTGAGGCACTGACTCTTTCAGAGTCAGATTTACAAATATTATATTTTGACCTTAATCGAAATATTCTGTTATTTTCAAAAGCTTTTTTAGTCTGATGCTATGATTAATTTTAAACAGACCGTTCAACAAAAGGATACCCAAAATCTAAATATTGGATTGTTCTTTCTAAGTAAGATCCCATTTTCATTACAGTTGTGGTCTTACCTTGACTTGAAGATGAATAGAAGTCCATGCTATCCTTCTGGACAACAATCTCTATTACTGTTTTGTAAAAGTCCTCCTTATCTTCCTCTAGTTTCAAAAGTCTAGTTTGTTGTTTGCAGATTTACCGTCTCTGCGTAGAATAGTAGCAACAAGAACCTGTGGGCTCACGTGCGCCCCCTTCAGTGCGGCAGAGGTTATGGCTGCCTCTCCTGGTGCTTTTTTCATTGCCGTTGTATGATGAGACCAGCGAGCCTGAATATCATATATACGTGAAATAAGTTATTTAGAGACTATGGATGGCGAGGATAAATGTAATAAAGGGATCTACAAACATTACATTGGTGACCTACAGTGAGATGGTAACAGGTATGCGCTTAGTGCCCGCTTTCCAGCCAGTTTCTGTGGGGTGACGCATTCTGAAGTGAGGCAGAGCTCATCTGTGCCTCACCTTACCCCACAGTAACTGGCTTGAGCGCGCTCACAAAATAAGTGGCCGCGCTAAATTAGTGCCCGCGCTCCAGCAAGTTACTGTGGGCTTACGAGAGGCAGAGCTCGTCCCTGCCTCACTTCTCATCGCTCCCGTAGCGGAGCTCGGCAAATTTGCTGATTTTGACTATAAAAAGCGATTGGAATCATACAGAAATCACATTTACAACACAGATCAGTGGAGACATTTTATTATTATTAGTATTTAGTTTTTCTTTAATTATTTTTCCGTTACATTGGAGTATGACAGGTGAGGCCTCCCCTGACTGCACGTCGCTGGTATAAAGTATAAATGAGAGGCCTGCTAACAGCATTGCTCCATTCTCTTGATTTAATGGGGTGCTTTTAGTGCAGAAAGGTAGACGTAAAGTAGAGGGACTTTTTCTGCTTCGATGGGATGTCACAGAGGGTTGCTCTGGTTCAAAAGTCAGTCCACTCAGACCTTTTTTATGTAGTATCTCTCTTAGTGCAGCAGCCTTTGTGGTTTTAGCAGTATGTAAGGGTTTGCAATTTTACATAGATGCTCCTTCATCCAAAGACCACTTGCAGTCCCATTAAATAACTTGGAACATTCTATTTGTTTGGAATATTGCTGAATAAAATGTATTTAAATGCAATTGAATCCATTGGTTTCATATAAAGGAATGGCTAAAATCAGTTTCTCCTTTTTCACGACTCAATTATCACTAAGACCTTGGCCAATACTAATAGGTGAATGGTAGATAAAGTTTATTTTTGAACAACTTCACTCATACTTCTGAGCCATGTAGACAAAGGGACAGTGTACTGTATGAGAGAAGATTTGTTAACTTACATATATGCATAAACCTATACAGTACATGGATTTATGTGTCACAATCCAATAAGTACCATTCATTTTCAAATAACACCAAACCTGTTGCACTAACTTAGCTTCAGCCGAAGCCTAAACAACAAATGCAACTAACTTGTTACCCTTTCATATTATATTCACAACATTACTGTAGCTACAGGCAAAAGCTGTGTGTGTACCCACAGTTTATTCTCCTTACTTTTAAACATAGCGCAAGATAAAGAGCCATTGTGTTCTTCATTTACCTTTCACCAAGTGATTCTTCTCAAGAACCAAACTTGATACTATAAATGGCAGTGAACATGTGATCAAGTTTTTTTTTAAGTAGGATGTACAAAGTCACTTCAGGCTGGCCAATCAAACGCAGTCTTGTGTCTTAAGAGTGGAGAGAGTATCAAGATCATTTTCACTCAACTCAAGAATTCAACAAGATGACGTCTCCAAAGTTGGTCTTATATTTGACGTGTTTGTTCTTGGGAACAATCGGTGAGTTGTATTTTTATCTAGCTTTTAATTTTCAGCTACTTTTATGGAAATGCTTTCAAATTTTTTTCATTCAAACTTCTCTACTTGCTGAATATAATTAATTGTATATTTCCTTTGACTCTTATTTCAGGTCAGACGACTGATCGGAAAATATCTTCAAGTGTTCGTCAAGAGAAACGTTTTATATCTGCTAATGCTGGAGAAAATGTGACTTTGCCATGCTACATTGAAGATGGTGATAAAGATTGGTTTTACTGGTACAAACAAACTCTGGGACAGAAACCAAAGCTCATCTCTACCGCCTATACGTATAATCCAAGACCCACTTTTTATCATGAGTTTAAGAACAATTCACGCTTCACACTTGATCACGGAAAAAGTAGAAATCACTTGACAATTTTGAACTTGCACATATTGGACTCAGCTACTTACTACTGTGCATTTGCCCCTCGAATTATTTTGAATTTTGAAGAAGGCACTACAATCAGTGTCAAAGCTTCTGGTTTGAGCACCCCACCTTCGGTCCATCAGTCAGCATCTGAGATCATCCAGTCAAGAGACTCTGTGACTCTGAACTGTACAGTACACACTGGCAGCTGTGATGGAGAACACAGTGTTTACTGGTTCAAAAACTCTGAAGACTCTCCAGGACTCCTTTACACCCGTGGAGGCAGTAATGATCAGTGTGAGAGGAAACCCAACACACAAACACACACCTGTGAATACAACCTGCCAATGGAGAACCTGAATATTTCTCATGCTGGGACCTACTACTGTGCTGTTGCCTCATGTGGACATATACTGTTTGGAAATGGGACCAAGCTGGAATTAGAAGGTAAGCAAATCTCTAAATGATTTAATGAAAAGTAATGAATGTCTAATTTCCGATCACACACTTTAATCACAAAGCTAAGTTTCCGTTTTTGGTGTTTACTCTCTACAGATGAGGTCGACTCTCTTGTGTATTTCTTGAGTGGAGCTTTAGCGTTCAACTCCATTCTGGTTGTTTTACTGGCTTTCTTAGTGTACACGATGAAAAAGAGAAACAACTGTCAATCAATGGGTAACTTGTAATTATTGTATACGTCCGAAAGATTGTTTGCAACCAAAGAAACGTGTTGAGAAATACAAATTCTGTCTTTCCAATGTCTTTCCAGAGTCTGAAGCAAGATTATCAACTCCCCCTACAGCAAATGCAGAGGTATCATTTAACTAAATAAGTTACATTTTGTAATCAAAGACATGTTTACTCCTGTTCAATATCTTTTTCCATTTCTATATATTTTGTTACCAGGGTTACCAGGATGCAAGCAGCCTCCATTATGCTGCTGTAAGTGTCAATGTGCCCAACAGATCAAGACGACAGAGGAACATCCCCAACGATGAATGTGTGTACTCTGGTGTCAAGCTGTAGACAAACCATGTTTCATTACTTTTGTTAATCAAAATTGGATTAGTGATGTTTGAAAAGTGATATAGATTTTAAAGTAGATTTTATAATGTTGTGCTTTATATGTTTTCTTATGTCCATTGTATCTCCTCAGTATTCAAAACTGACTCAAATATTAAATGGACACTTTGGTCTTGATACAATACATCGTGTGCATTTGCTCACTTCCTCATAGCAATATCTCTTTTTACAATCTTCAAACCTCTTTTTAATCATTTGAATGTAGTTCTAAACCAATAAAATAAAATGTGTGTATTTTACAAGAGTAGCTCTGATGTTACTTCTCTGATCCACAGTATTGTGGAAATCTAATAGATAGAGTATAGCATATGACTTAGGAGTTTAGTTATATTGCATATTGACAGACTTTTGTCAGAGACTGAAAAGAAAACCAATGGTCTGTACTACGAAGCAGGATTTGGGGTTAGGTAACTCGAGGGTTTTCAGACCTACAACGCTGGTTCACTTCTTACCAGGACAGATTGCAATGATTACTTGCCTAACAACTCACCTTCTGAGAAACCCTGGGTTGACTTAGCAATTTGACAACCAAAGTCGTAGGACAGCTTAGTGAGCCACACACATAAAGGATGTGCAATGCATTTTTACTGGGTAACAGCCAACAGTTTCCTTTTGTACTTAGGCATTCTTGAAAAACAGATCTTAATAAATATTTTATAAAGTATAAATGAGAGGCCTGCTAACAGCATTGCTCCATTGTCCATTCTCTTGATTTAACCTGTTAAGCCATGAGCCTGTTTTTCAGGTCTCAGGCTCGAAAATGACATTCCCTGAACAAATGACCATATCTTCCCTTCTAAAAGGGTTAAATTAATAATCTTTTTTCTCAAAGTAATGATAAACCTGTGAGTTGGATGTAGAAGAGTCAGAATCAATATAGATGTTTTTTATTTTAAAGAAAATTCAGATTTTACATAGTAAAAAACTGTAAATAATAGTGTCCGTCCAAATATTCTTTTTTACTTATAGTGAAAACCACCCTTGGATGATGGGTTAGTAGACTAAAAGCTTTACGAATCCAAAGTACAACATATAATAAGTACCCTGTATCAAGATTGATGCAAAACAAGTGACATTTGACCTTTTTAGAGAGGTTTAGCCAAAACCACACCACCTCTGAGGTGATTTGGGTGAAAATGTTTTTTTTTCCATATCTCTGGCCCCCCTTGGTCGATTTTGATGGTTGACACCTCTTTCTGACCCTTAGAGCCAATAGAATCGAAGGGGGAGGCCCCCCCACACACACGTTGTGAAGAGAAAAAAGGTGGGGGCTGCGCGCATGTACATTTGCAGCAGAGTGGACCTAGCTCTGGCATTTGGAAACGAAAAAGCAGTTTTATTGCTTATGGATTATCAGAAATAATTTCAAAGAGGACACAGACACATTGGATTAACCTATGGATTAACTGCAGCATCGTTTTTTTATCGTTTTAATGCCATTGAAGACCAGTTTTGACCAAGGTAAGCCATGTTAGCGTTTCTAGCTACCTAGCTCCACATGTTATGATGTACACTTTCGTTTATAGCGTCGCAAATGTTTCTCACTGAGTGTTGAGGTGGGCACCCCCAGATTCTGTGTCTCCAGGAGACCCAAAACGAGGGTTTGGCTGTGCATCTAGGATAAGTAATAACGGAGTTAGAGTGAGTTTAGGTGCAGAGATAGGTTAAATTTTTTCGCTCGTGGCTAATTCAGAGGCTGAGTGTTAGCATTGTGGGGTTTTTTTGGAGAAAAAAAATTAAAAAGATCAGTTAGCGGAGTTTCTTCCCGTTACATGGATATAAAACATTCATAGTTTATTAAATATTAAGATTCCTTAGACGTTGTTTCCTGCAAATGACACGTTTATCCGCCCGGTACCGGGGGGGCCGTGCGTAACAGGTTAAATTAACATGCCCTCAGACACTATTTCCTGCAAGATGTTGCGGCAGTACCCCGGTACCGGGGTCTCTCGGGCTTAACAGGTTAATGGGGGGACTTTTGGCACAGAAAGGTAAAGGTAAAGCAGAGGGACTTTTTCTGCTTCATATGGATGTCACAGTGGGCCCACTGGTTCAAAAAACAGTCCTCTCAGACCTTTTTTGTAGTATCTATTTTAGTGCAGCAGCCTTTGTGGTTTTAGCAGGATGTAAGGGTGTTGCAATCTTATATAGATGCTCCTTAATCCAAGGATTAAGCACTTGCAGTGCCATTAAATTAGAAGAATATTTATCAGGTCACATTTAACAATAATACAACTTGAAATAATCTTGTAGTTACAAAAATGTGTTTGGAATAGTGTTGAATATAGGTATTTAAAAGCAATTTAATCCATTAGTTTCATATAAAGGCATGGCTACAATCAATTTCTCATTTTTCCAGCTCAATTATCACTAAGACCTTTTTGAACAACATCACTAATCCCAAAGTGATTAATGTTAGATTGTTATACAATTGTTTTCTTTATTAGCTAATGCATTGTTTCCAAAGTAAAATAGAGTAATTTGGTAATTTACATATATGTGTAAACATAGATTAGGGCAGCATGGATTTCTGTGTCACAATCCAGTAAGTACCATTAATTTTCAAATAACACCAAACCTGTTGCACTAATTTAGCTTCAGTCGAAGCCGAAAGAACATATGCAACTAACTTGTTACCCTTTCATATTATATTCACAGCATTACTGTGGCTACAGGCAAAGCTGTGTGTGTACCCACAGTTTATTCTCCCTACTTTTAAACATAGCACAAGATAAAGAGCCATTGTGTTCTTCATTTACCTTTCACCAAGTGAATCTTCTCAAGAACCAAACTTGAAACTGTAGATGGCTGTACATGTGTTCAAGTTTTTTTTTTAAGTAGGATGTACAATGTCACTTCAGGCTGGCCAATGAAACGCAGTCTTGTGTCTTAAGAGTGGAGAGAGTATCAAGATCATTTTCACTCAACTCAAGAATTCGAACAAGATGACGTCTCCAAAGTTGGTCTTTTATCTGACGTGTTTGTTCTTAGGAACAATCGGTGAGTTGTATTTTTATCCTGCTTTTCCTTTTCAGCTACTTTCATGGAAATGCTTTCAATATTTTTCCATTCAAACTTCTGTACTTGCTGAATATATCCAATGTAATTAATTGTATATTTCCTTTGACTCTTATTTCAGCTCAGACGACTGATCGGAAACTATCCTCAAGTGTTCGCCAAGAGAAACGTTATATATCTGCTATTGTTGGAGTAAATGTGACTTTGCCATGCTACAAAGAAGATGATGATACAAATCGGCTTTACTGGTTCAAACAAACTCTGGGACAGAAACCAAGGCTCATCTCATCCGTCACTCCTTATGATGCAAGACCCACTTTTTATGATGAATTCAACAACAAGTTACGCTTCACACTTGATCACGGAAAAAGTACAAATCACCTGACGATTTTAAATGTGCACATTTCAGACTCAGCCATTTACTACTGTGCATTTACCAATCGATATGTGGTGAATTTTGCCGAAGGCACTACTATCAGTGTCAAGGGTTCTGGTTTGAACCCCCCACCTTCGGTCCATCAGTCAGCATCTGAGATCATCCAGCCAGGAGACTCTGTGACTCTGAACTGTACAGTACACACTGGCAGCTGTGATGGAGAACACAGTGTTTACTGGTTCAAAAACTCTGAGGACTCTCCAGGACTCCTTTACACCCGTGGAGGCAGTCAGTGTGAGAGGAAACCCAACACACAAACACACACCTGTGTGTACAACCTGCCAATGGAGAGCCTGAATCTTTCTCATGCTGGGACCTACTACTGTGCTGTTGCCTCATGTGGACACATACTGTTTGGAAATGGGACCAAGCTGGAATTAGAAGGTAAACAAATCTCTAAATGATTTATTGAAAAGTAATGAATGTCTAATTTCCGATCACACACTTTAATCACAAAGCTAAGTTTCTGTTTTTTGGTGTTTACTGTCTACAGATGAGGTCGACTCTCTTGTGTATTTCTTGAGTGGAGCTTTAGCGTTCAACTCCATTCTGGTCGTTTTACTGGCTTTCTTATTGTACAAGATGAAAAAGAGAAACATCTGTCAATCAATGGGTAACTTGTAATTATTGTATACGTCCGAAAGATTGTTTACAACCAAAGAAACGTGTTGAGAAATACAAATTCTGTCTTTCCAATGTCTTTCCAGAGTCTGAAGCAAGATTATCAACTCCCTCTCCAGCAAATGCAGAGGTATCATTTAAGTAAATAAGTTAAATGTTTTAATCAGATACATTTTTACTTCTGTTCAATATCTTTATCCATTTCTATATATTTTGTTACCAGGGTTACCAGGATGCAGGCAGCCTCCATTATGCTGCTGTAAGTGTCAATGTGCCCAACAGATCAAGACGACAGAGGAACATCCCCAACGATGAATGTGTGTACTCTGGTGTCAAGCTGTAGACAAACCATGTTTCATTACTTTAGTTAATCAAAATTGGATTAGTGATGTTTGAAATGTGATATAGATTTTAAAGTAGATTTTAGAATGTTGTGCTTTATATGTTTTCTTATGTCCATTGTATCTCCTCAGTATTCAAAACTGACTCAAATATTAAATGGACACTTTGGTCTTGATACAATACATTGTGTGCATGTGTTCACTTCCTCATAGCAATATCTCTTTTTACAATCTTCAGACCTCTTTTTAATCATTTTAATGTAGTTCTAAACCAATAAAATAAAATGTGTGCATTTTACAAGAGTAGCTCAGATGTTACTTCTCTGATCCACAGTATTGTGGAAATCTAATAGATAGAGTATAGCATATTACTTAGGAGTTTAGTTATATTGCATATTGACAGACAAAACAGAGACTGAAAAGAAAACCAATGGTCTGTACTACGAAGCAGGATTTGGGGTTAGGTAACTCGAGGGTTTTCAGTCCTACAACGCTGGTTCACTTCTTACCAGGACAGATTGCAATGATTACTTGCCTAACAACTCACCTTCTGAGAAACCCTGGGTTGACTTGGCAATTTGACAACCAAAGTCGTAGGACAGCTTAGTGAGACACACACATAAAGGATGTGCAATGCATTTTTACTGGGTAACAGCCAACAGTTTCCTTTTGTACTTAGGCATTCTTGAAAAACAGATCTTAATAATTATTTTATAAAGTATAAATGAGAGGCCTGCTAACAGCATTGCTCCATTGTCCATTCTCTTGATTTAATGGGGGGACTTTTGGCACAGAAAGGTAAAGGTAAAGCAGAGGGACTTTTTCTGCTTCATATGGATGTCACAGTGGGCCCACTGGTTCAAAAAACAGTCTTCTCAGACCTTTTCTTATAGTATCTATTTTAGTGCGGCAGCCTTTGTGGTTTTAGCAGGATGTAAGGGTGTTGCAATCTTATATAGATGCTCCTTAATCCAAGGATGAAGCACTTGCAGTGCCATTAAATTAGAAGAATATGTATCAGGTCACATTTAACAATAATACAACTTGAAATAATCTTGTAGTTAAAAAAATGTGTTTGTTATAGTGTTGAATATAGGTATTTAAAAGCAATTTAATCCATTAGTTTCATATAAAGGCATGGCTACAATCAATTTCAAATTTTTCCAGCTCAATTATCACTAAGACCTTTTTGAACAACATCACTAATCCCAAAGTGATTAACGTTAGATTGTTATACAATTGTTTTCTTTATTAGCTAATGCATTGTTTCCAAAGTAAAATAGAGTAATTTGGTAATTTACATATATGCGTTAACATAGATTGGGGCAGCATGGATTTCTGTGTCACAATCCAGTAAGTACCATTAATTTTCAAATAACACCAAACCTGTTGCACTAACTTAGCTTCAGCCGAAGCCTAAACAACAAATACAACTAACTTGTTACCCTTTCATATTATATTCACAGCATTACTGTGGCTACAGGCAAAGCTGTGTGTGTACCCACAGTTTATTCTCCCTACTTTTAAACATAGCACAAGATAAAGAGCCATTGTGTTCTTCATTTACCTTTCACCAAGTGAATCTTCTCAAGAACCAAACTTGAAACTGTAGATGGCTGTACATGTGTTCAAGTTTTTTTTTTAAGTAGGATGTACAATGTCACTTCAGGCTGGCCAATGAAACGCAGTCTTGTGTCTTAAGAGTGGAGAGAGTATCGAGATCATTTTCACTCAACTCAAGAATTCGAACAAGATGACGTCTCCAAAGTTGGTCTTTTATCTGACGTGTTTGTTCTTAGGAACAATCGGTGAGTTGTATTTTTATCCTGTTTTTACTTTTCAGCTACTTTCATGGAAATGCTTTCAATATTATTTCATTCGAACTTCTGTACTTGCTGAATATAATTAATTGTATATTTCCTTTGACTCTTATTTCAGCTCAGACGACTGATCGGAAACTATCCTCAAGTGTTCGCCAAGAGAAACGTTATATATCTGCTAATGTTGGAGTAAATGTGACTTTGCCATGCTCCAATGAAGACGATGATACAAATCGGCTTTACTGGTTCAAACAAACTCTGGGACAGAAACCAAGGCTCATCTCATCCGTCACTCCTTATGATGCAAGACCCACTTTTTATGATGAATTCAACAACAAGTCACGCTTCACACTTGATCACGGAAAAAGTACAAATCACCTGACGATTTTAAATGTGCACATTTCAGACTCAGCCACTTACTACTGTGCATTTACCAATCGATATGTGGTGAATTTTGCCGAAGGCACTACTATCAGTGTCACAGGTTCAGGTTTGAACCCCCCACCTTCGGTCCATCAGTCAGCATCTGAGATCATCCAGTCAGGAGACTCTGTGACTCTGAACTGTACAGTACACACTGGCAGCTGTGATGGAGAACACAGTGTTTACTGGTTCAAAAACTCTGAGGACTCTCCAGGACTCCTTTACACCCGTGGAGGCAGTCAGTGTGAGAGGAAACCCAACACACAAACACACACCTGTGTGTACAACCTGCCAATGGAGAGCCTGAATCTTTCTCATGCTGGGACCTACTACTGTGCTGTTGCCTCATGTGGACACATACTGTTTGGAGACGGGACCAAGCTGGACTTCGAAGGTAAGTAATTTACTAGATTATTTAATGAAGAGTAAATGATGGCTAATTCCAAATCAAAGTTAACATCAAAACAAAGACAAAAGCTGAATGCTCTGTTTGTGGTGTTTACTCTCTACAGATGAGGTTGACTCTCTTGTGTATTTCTTGAGTGGATCTTTGGCAATCAACGCCATCCTGGTTGTTCTACTGGCTTTCATAATAAACAAGATGAAGAAAATGAACAGCTGCCAGTCAACAGGTAACTGGTCATGTGTTTATTGTTTAGTTTGATGATAAAGAATATGGCTTTAGAATTAAAACTTATATTTCTGTTTTGCAGAGTCTTCAACAAGATTTCCAGCTCCGTCCACAGCAGATTCAGAGGTGAGTAAAACAAGTTCACTGGAAATAAAATGCTAAATTAACATTCAGAACCTTTTGTTGCACAATAAATTGTTTCCTGGAAATTATTATTGTCAAGATAAAAATAAGGATCAACTGGTATATTGTGTTACCAGGGTTACCAGCGAGCAGAGAAGATCTACTATGGTGCTTTGGGTGTCAACCTGACAAACAGATCAGGAAGACAGAAGGAGCCGACCTGGAGTGAATGTGTGTATTACAGCGTAAAGCAGTAGAACAGGAAGTAGTACATTTGTACTTTTGAGTCAGACAAGTTGTTCCTTTTTTATTCCTTCTCTGTGTGCAGCCCAAAAAAAAAGAAGAGATCATTCTGTTCTTTGCTAATGTGTATTTTAAGGATAGTAACCAGAAGCCTATCTTTAGAAGCTAAGATTTATTGATGATGCAAAAGTCACTTATATGCTTTTAGGTTTAACCTCATTTGATTATTTTTGATATCCTCCTTGTATTTTAACCAGATCCAACATGTATGTTTGTATTTGGAATTTATTGCATTTATGATCAATAAAAATCAACATTTGGAGCTATATAGTATGTGTTTACTTGACAATCCAACAGCTTTTTTCTTTATTTGCTATTTAAGCTTACCTCAAGAGGCCATTCAATGAACTGCGTTTTTTTTTTTCACTTCTGCATTAGCATACTTCTTCTGAACCGGTAGTTGCTGCTTGGCTATGACATCCAATACAAAAAGGATGTGCAATGCAATTCTACTGGGTAACAGCAAACAGCTTCAAATTTAAAAGATTTCAGAGGTTTAATGTCATATGTAAACATATAGTTTCCACTTGTACTTACTCACAATATCAATCTTAAAGGTCCCATATTATACTATATTTGAACAATATATTATAGGGCCAAATCTATACAAAACATGTCTCTGAAGTGTTTTGCTCAAAATACCAAACAGATCCCCGATTATTGCCATGCCTCTATTTCAGCCGTGTTACAAAAGTGTTGATTCTGGGTCTGGCCCTTTAAATGTAACAGAGCTGCTGCTGGCCACGCCCCTTTAGAGCATCCGCATGCAAGCAGTGAGCTCTGTGAAGAGAAGGCTGTCTATCAGCAGAAACTCAGCTAAACGCTGCCGTGATTAAACGCCATATTATGTTCCAAACCACATCAAGCATTATTTCTGAAACAGTATGGAGCTCAAACGCTTTCTCTCTCGCGGGTTTACCACAGGGACATTAACTTTTATATCCGGCTTCTTTACACATATTCTCTCCAGGACAGCGTTAGCTCTGAGTGTTAGCGATGCTTGCCAATGTAAATACAGACCATATTACTTCCAGAACACGTTACGCATTTCCGATATGACGTCAAGTCCGCAGCAAATCTGGATCAGCTCCGATGTACCCCGGTTTTTAGAGATGTGAGTAAGGAGGAAAAGAGAGAGGGTTGCATTTTCTGACACTTTGTGAGTCTCCTTACACACCGGGGACACATATTTATGTATAAAAGACATAAAAAAGTGCATTTTGCATAATAGGTGACCTTTAATAAAGCTTGTATAATGTATAAATTAGAGGCCTGCTCACATGATTAATCTATTCTCTTGATTTAATGGGGGGCTTTTAGTGCAGACAGGTAAAGGTAAAGCAGAGACACTTTTTCTGCTTCAAAGGGATGTCACAGTCAGTTGCTCTGGTTCAAAAGACACTACTCTCAGACCTTTTTTAGTAGTATTTCTGTTAGTGCAGCAGCTTTTGTGGTTTTTAGCAGGATGTAAGGGTGTTGGCAATCTTATATAGATGCTCCTTAATCCAAAAACCACTTGCAGTGCCATTAAATAAGAAGAATATGTATCAGGTCAGATTTAACAATACTTAAACTACAAATATTTGTGTAGGCAAGGCAAGGCAAGGCAAGTTTATTTATATAGCACCTTTCAACACAAGGTAATTCAAAGTGCTTTACAAAAATGGAAGACATTTTAAAAATGGCATTTAAAATCAGTCATTAAAAAGGAAAGATAATAAAATAAACATTAAAAGAAAAAATACATGGATAAAAGTTAAAAGTTACAGTGCAGTTTAAGATGTGAATAGTTCAATTAAAAGCAGCGGCAAAAAGAAAAGTCTTCAGCCTGGATTTAAAAGTAGTAAGAGTTGCAGCGGACCTGCAGGTTTCTGGGAGTTTGTTCCAGATATTCGGAGCATAATAACTGAATGCTGCTTTACCATGTTTAGTTCTGACTCTGGGGACAGAAAGCTGACCAGTCCCTGAAGACCTGAGGGTTCTGGATGGTTCATAATTTAGCAGTAGGTCAGACATGTATTTTGGGCCTAAACCATTCAAAGCTTTATAAACCAGCAACAATGTTTTGAAATCTATTCTTTGACACACAGGAAGCCAGTGTAAAGACTTCAGAACAGGAGTGATGTGATCCACTTTCTTAGTGTTAGTGAGGACTCGAGCAGCGGCGTTCTGAATTAGCTGCAGCTTTCTAATAGATTTTTTAGTGAGGCCTGTAAAGACACCATTGCAGTAGTCGAGTCTACTGAAGATAAAAGCATGGACAAGTTTTTCCAAATCCTGCTGTGACATTAGTCCTTTAATCCTAGATATGTTCTTTAGGTGATAGTAGGCTGATTTAGTAACTGTTTTAATGTGACTGTTGAAACTCAGGTCAGAGTCCATGACTACACCTAGATTTCTGGCTTTATCTGTTGTTTTGAACATTGCAGACTGAAGCTCAGCGCTAACTTTTATACGTTCTGCCTTGGCTCCAAAAACCATTACCTCAGTTTTATCTTTGTTTAATTGGAGAAAGTTCTGACACATCCAGTCATTGATTTGTTCAATGCACTTACTCAGTGTTTGAATTGGAGCATAATCTCCTGGTGAAATTGTTACGTAAATGTGTGTGTCATCCGCATAGCTATGGTAACTTATTTTGTTGTTTTTCATTATCTGAGCCAGTGGTAGCATGTAGATGTTAAAGAGAAGAGGCCCCAAGATGGAGCCTTGAGGTACCCCACATGTCATATTTGTCAACTCAGATGTGTATTTACCTATAGAAATAAAGTTTTTTCTGTCCTTTAAGTAGGACTCAAACCAATTTAGAACTGTTGCCGAAAGTCCCACCCAGTTTTCTAGTCGGTCTAGTAATATGTTGTGGTCAACAGTGTCAAATGCAGCACTGAGATCTAATAATACTAACACTGAAGTTCTGCCACTGTCTGTGTTTAAGTGGATGTCATTGAAGACCTTTACAAGAGCAGTCTCAGTGCTGTGGTTTGGACGAAATCCTGACTGGAACACATCCAAACAGTTATTTAAATGCAAGAAGTTACTCAACTGTTGAAATACTACTTTTTCAATGATTTTACCTAGAAATGGCAGGTTTGATATTGGCCTGTAATTGTTCATTACTGAGGCATCTAGATTATTCTTTTTTAAGAGCGGTTTAATGACTGCAGTTTTCAGGGCCTCTGGAAAAATACCTGAGTGAAGAGATGTGTTTACTATATGAAGTAGATCTGAGGCCATGCAAGGAAAAACATCTTTGAAAAATCCTGTTGGAATAATATCAAGGCAGCAGGAGGAGGATTTCAGAAGTTGAATAATGTCCTCTAAGTTTTTACCATTAATCTGATGGAATTGTGTCATGGTGTTTGAATTGATATTAGGTGGACATAGGGACAAAACATTTGCTGTACCTGATGTAGAGGCACTGACTGCTTGTCTAATTTTCTGAATTTTGTCAGTGAAGAAGGAGGCAAAATCATTGCACGCCCTGGTGGATAGAAATTCAGAGGCTACTGACACTGGGGGGTTAGTTAGTCTGTCTACGGTAGCAAACAAGGCACGTGCGTTGTTTTTGTTTTTGGTAATGATGTCAGAGAAGAAAGACTGTCGTGCGTTTTTCAATTCCAAATTATAAAGGCCAAGTCTCTCTTTATAGATTTCAAAGTGAACCTGGAGATTTGTTTTTCGCCACCTACGTTCAGCTTTTCGACACTCTCTTTTTTCTGTTCTCACGGTCATGGCCTTTCTCCATGGAGATATTTTCTTGCTAATCACTTCCTTTACCTTAGTTGGAGCAATGGTATCTATAACATTTTTAATTTTTGAATTAAAATGATCTACTAGCTCATTTACTGAGATGTTAGCAGGGGCAAGTGTGGATGAGAAATTATGAGTAAACATTTCCCTAGTATTTTCAGTTAAATATCGCTTTGTGGTTACCTCTTTCTGAACATTTTTGTGAACAGAAATAGAGCTCTCAAAGAAAACACAGGAATGATCAGAGAGTGCAACATCAGTCACCACAACCTTTGAGATATTCAGACCCTTTGAGATAATTAAGTCCAGAGTGTGCCCCTTATTGTGCGTGGGCTCCGCCACATGCTGAGTCAGTCCATAGTTATCAAGAACACAAAACAGTTCTTTAGCCCCTCTGTCCTGGGGGTTGTCAACATGGATGTTAAAATCACCAACAATGACTAAACGGTCAAAGTCAATACACACTATAGACAGCAGTTCAGTAAAATCATCAAAAAAGCTTGCACAGTATTTGGGTGGTCTATAGATATTTAGGAACAGAGCTCGAGAGGAGCATTTCAGCTGAAGGGCCACATATTCAAAAGAAGCAAAGTCCCCATAAGATGTCTTCCTGCATTGAATGGAATCATTGAACAAAATAGCAACTCCACCCCCTTTCTTATGCATTCTTTCCTGACTCATAAAACTAAAGTTGGGAGGTGTTGATTCGATAAGAACAGCTGCACTGTTGTTTTGTTCAATCCAAGTTTCCGTTAAAAACATAAAATCGAGATTGTGCTCAGTGATAAAATCATTGATTAAAAATGTTTTTCCTGCCAAAGACCTGACATTTAATAAAGCTAGTTTAAGTTTGTTAAATACACTATCAGTAAAACATTTTGTGACAAGCTGTGGCTGACATGGAATCACTGCTAAATTTGATAACCTCACACAAACGTTTGAGCACTTCCTGTGTAGTTCATTTTTTTACTTTTTTATATTGCTGAATAAAGGTATTTAAAAGTGTTTGAATCCTTTAATCTCGGATGTAAAATCAATTCCTACTTTTTCACAGCAAAATTATCCTTAAGACCATGGCCTTTAGTAATAGGCCTATTGTAGAAACTGTTTTTCTTTTTTGAAACACTTCACTAAACCCGGAATGATTTACATTAGATTATTACAACATTGTTTTATTGACTAGCCAAGGCATATTTTCCACATACTTCTGACCCATGTAGACACAGGGACAGTATATGAGAATAATTTGGAAACTTGACACTGACATATTCATAAACATTTTATTACAGTTTATTCTCCCTACTTTTAAATATAGCACAAGATAAAGAGCCATTGCGTTCTTCATTCAACTTTCACCAAGTAAACCCTCTCAAGAACTAAACTTGATACTATAGATGGTAGTGAACATGTGATCAAGTTTTTTTAAAGCAGGATGTACAATGTCACTTCAGGCTGGCCAATGAAACGCAGTCTTGTGTCTTAAGAGAGGAGAGAGTATCGAGATCATTTTCACTCAACTCAAGAATTCGAACAAGATGACGTCTCCAAAGTTGGTCTTTTATCTGACGTGTTTGTTCTTGGGAAAAATCGGTGAGTTGTATTTTTATGCCGCTCACTTTTTTAGCTACTTTTCATTTAAATGCTTTTAATATGTTTTTATTTAAACAATGTGCTGAAATAACCTATTGTAATTATTAAAGTATATCTTTCACTCTAATTTCAGCTCTGACGACTAATCGGAAAATATCTTCAAGTGTTCGTCAAGAGAAACGTTATATATCAGCTAATGCTGGAGGAAATGTGACTTTGAGATGCTACATTGAAGATGATGATACAAATTGGCTTTACTGGTTCAAACAAACTCTGGGACAGAAACCAAAGCTCATCTCTACCACCTATAAGTATAACGCAAAACCCACTTTTTATCATGAATTCAACAAGTCACGCTTCACACTTGATCACGGAAAAAGTACAAATCACTTGACCATTTTAAATTTGCACATTTCAGACTCAGCTACTTACTACTGTGTATCTGCCGTTCAATATGAGTTGAATTTTGCAGAAGGCACTACAATCAGTGTCAAAGGTTCAGGTTTGAGCATCCCGGTTTCAGTCCATCAGTCAGAATCTGAGATAATCCAGTCAGGAGACTCTGTGACTCTGAACTGTACAGTACACACTGGCAGCTGTGATGGAGAACACAGTGTTTACTGGTTCAAAAACTCTGAGGACTCTCCAGGACTCCTTTACACCCGTGGAGGCAGTCAGTGTGAGAGGAAACCCAACACACAAACACACACCTGTGTGTACAACCTGCCAATGGAGAGCCTGAATCTTTCTCATGCTGGGACCTACTACTGTGCTGTTGCCTCATGTGGACACATACTGTTTGGAGACGGGACCAAGCTGGACTTTGAAGGTAAGTAATTTACCAGATTATTTAATGAAGAGTAAATGATGGCTAATTCCAAATCAAAGTTAACATCAAAACAAAGACAAAAGCTGAATGCTCTGTTTGTGGTGTTTACTCTCTACAGATGAGGTTGACTCTCTTGTGTATTTCTTGAGTGGATCTTTGGCAATCAACGCCATCCTGGTTGTTCTACTGGCTTTCATAATAAACAAGATGAAGAAAATGAACAGCTGCCAGTTAACAGGTAACTGGTCATGTTGTTATTGTTTAGTTTGATGATAAAGAATATGGCTTTAGAATTAAAACTTATATTTCTGTTTTGCAGAGTCTTCAACAAGATTTCCAGCTCCGTCCACAGCAGATTCAGAGGTGAGTAAAACAAGTTCACTGGAAATAAAATGCTAAATTAACATTCAGAACCTTTTGTTGCACAATAAATTGTTTCCTGGAAATTATTATTGTCAAGATAAAAATAAGGATCAACTGGTATATTGTGTTACCAGGGTTACCAGCGAGCAGAGAAGATCTACTATTGTGCTTTGGGTGTCAACCTGACAAACAGATCAGGAAGACAGAGGGAGCCGACCTGGAGTGAATGTGTGTATTACAGCGTAAAGCAGTAGAACAGGAAGTAGTACATTTGTACTTTTGAGTCAGACAAGTTTTTCCTTTTTTATTCCTTCTCTGTGTGCAGCCCAAAAAAAAAAGAGATCATTCTGTTCTTTGCTAATGTGTATTTTAAGGATAGTAACCAGAAGCCTATCTTTAGAAGCTAAGATTTATCTATGATGTAAAAGTCACTTATATGCTTTTAGGTTTAACCTAATTTGATTATTTTTGATATCCTCCTTGTATTTTAACCAGATCCAACATGTATGTTTGTATTTGGAAGTTATTGCATTTATGATCAATAAAAATCAACATTTGGAGCTATATAGTATGTGTTTACTTGAAAATCCAACAGCTTTTTTCTTTATTTGCTATTTAAGCTTACCTCAAGAGGCCATTCAATGAACTGCAGTTTTTTTTTTCACTTCTGCATAAGCATACTTCTTCTGAACCGGTTGTTGCTGCTTGGCTATGACATACAATACAAAAAGGATATGCAATGCAATTCTACTGGGTAACAGCAAACAGCTTCAAATTTCAAAGATTTCAGAGGTTTAATGTCATATGTAAACATATAGTTTCCACTTGTACTTACTCACAAAATCAATCTTAAAGGTCCCATATTATATTATATTTGAACAATATATTATAGGGCCAAATCTATACAAAACATGTCTCTGAAGTGTTTTGCTCAAAATACCAAACAGATCCCCGATTATTGCCATGCCCCTATTTCAGCCCTGTTACAAAAGTGTTGATTCTGGGTCTGGCCCTTTAAATGTAACAGAGCTGCTGCTGGCCACGCCCCTTTAGAGCGTCCGCATGCAAGCGGTGAGCTCTGTGAAAAGAAGGCTGTCTACCAGCAGAAACTCAGCTAAACACTGCCGTGATTAAACGCCATATTATGTTCCAAACCACATCAAGCATTATTTCTGAAACAGTATGGAGCTCAAACGCTTTCTCTCTCGCGGGTTTACCACAGGGACATTAACTTTTATATCCGGCTTCTTTACACATATTCTCTCCAGGACAGCGTTAGCTCTGAGTGTTAGCGATGCTTGCCAATGTAAATACAGACCATATTACTTCCAGAACACGTTACGCATTTCCGATATGACGTCAAGTCTGCAGCAAAACTGGATCAGCTCCGTTGTACCCCTGTTTTTAGAGATGTGGGTAAGGAGGAAAAGAGAGAGGGTTGTATTTTCTGACACTTTGTGAGTCTCCTTACACACCGGGGACACATATTTATGTATAAAAGACATAAAAAAGTGCATTTTGCATAATAGGTGACCTTCAATAAAGCTTGTATAATGTATAAATGAGAGGCCTGCTCACATCATTCATCTATTCTCTTGATTTAATGGGGGGCTTTTAGTGCAGACAGGTAAAGGTAAAGCAGAGACACTTTTTCTGCTTCAAAGGGATGTCACAGTTGGTTGCTCTGGTTCAAAAGACACTACTCTCAGACCTTTTTTTGTAGTATCTCTGTTAGTGCAGCAGCTTTTGTGGTTTTTAGCAGGATGTAAGGGTGTTGGCAATCTTATATCGATGCTCCTTAATCCAAAAACCACTTGCAGTGCCATTAAATAAGAAGAATATGTATCAGGTCAGATTTAACAATACTTAAACTACAAATATTTGTGTAGTTCATTTTTGTACTTTTTTATATTGCTGAATAAAGGTATTTAAAAGTGTTTGAATCCTTTAATCTCGGATGTAAAATAAATTCCTACTTTTTCACAGCAAAATTATCCTTAAGACCTTGGCCTTTAGTAATAGGCCTATTGTAGAAACAGTTTTTCTTTTTTGAAACACTTCACTAAACCCGGAATGATTTACATTAGATTATTACAACATTGTTTTATTGACTAGCCAAGGCATATTTTCCACTTACTTCTGACCCATGTAGACACAGGGACAGTATATGAGAATAATTTGGAAACTTGACACTGACATATTCATAAACATTTTATTACAGTATATTCTCCCTACTTTTAAATATAGCACAAGATAAAGAGCCATTGCGTTCTTCTTTCAACTTTCACCAAGTGAACCCTCTCAAGAACTAAACTTGATACTATAGATGGCAGTGAACATGTGATCAAGTTTTTTTTAAGTAGGATGTACCAATGTCACTTCAGGCTGGCCAATGAAACGCAGTCTTGTGTCTTAAGAGAGGAGAGAGTATCGAGATCATTTTCACTCAACTCAAGAATTCGAACAAGATGACGTCTCCAAAGTTGGTCTTTTATCTGACGTGTTTGTTCTTGGGAAAAATCGGTGAGTTGTATTTTTATGCCGCTCACCTTTTTAGCTACTTTTCATTTAAATGCTTTTAATATGTTTTTATTTAAACAATGTGCTGAAATAATCTATTGTAATTATTAAAGTATGTCTTTCACTCTAATTTCAGCTCTGACGACTAATCGGAAAATATCTTCAAGTGTTCGTCAAGAGAAACGTTATATATCAGCTAATGCTGGAGGAAATGTGACTTTGCCATGCTACATTGAAGATGATAATACAAATTGGCTTTACTGGTTCAAACAAACTTTGGGACAGAAACCAAGGCTCATCTCTAACGCCTATAAGTATAACGCAAAACCCACTTTTTATCATGAATTCAACAAGTCACGCTTCACACTTGATCACGGAAAAAGTACAAATCACTTGACAATTTTAAATTTGCACATTTCAGACTCAGCTACTTACTACTGTGTATCTGCCGTTCAATATGTGTTGAATTTTGCAGAAGGCACTACAATCAGTGTCAAAGGTTCAGGTTTGAACCCCCCACCTTCGGTCAATCAGTCAGCATCTGAGATAATCCAGCCAGGAGACTCTGTGACTCTGAACTGTACAGTACACACTGGCAGCTGTGATGGAGAACACAGTGTTTACTGGTTCAAAAACTCTGAGGACTCTCCAGGACTCCTTTACACCCATGGAGGCAGTCAGTGTGAGAGGAAACCCAACACACAAACACACACCTGTGTGTACAACCTGCCAATGGAGAGCCTGAATCTTTCTCATGCTGGGACCTACTACTGTGCTGTTGCCTCATGTGGACACATACTGTTTGGAGACGGGACCAAGCTGGACTTTGAAGGTAAGCAAATCACTCAATTATTTAATGAAAAGTAATGTATGTCTAATTCCCAAGCACACACTTTAAACACAAAGATAACACTCAGCTTTTGGTGTTTACTCTCTACAGATGAGGTCGACTCTCTTGTGTATTTCCTAAGTGGAGCTTTAGCATTCAACTCCATTCTGGTCGTTTTACTGGCTTTCTTAGTGTACAAGATGAAAAAGAGAAACATCTGCCAATCAACAGGTAACTTGTACCTATTGTATGTGTCTGAAAGCTTGTTTGCATCCAATGAAACTTTTGGAGAAATACAAATTCTGTCTTTCAAATGTCTTTCCAGAGTCTGAAGCAAGATTATCAACTCCCCCTACAGCAAATGCAGAGGTGAAAATTATCCCAATAAATAAAAAATGTTATCGATTACATTTTTACTTCTATTCAATATCTTTATCCATTTATATTTATTTTGTCACCAGGGTTACCGCGATGCAAACAGCCTCCATTATGCTGCTTTAAGTGTCAATGTGCCCAACAGATCAAGACGACAGAGGAACATCAACAACGATGAATGTGTGTACTCTGGTGTCCAGCTGTAGACCTACTACACATTACTTGTGTTGATTTAAAATAAGATTCAGTCATCTTCCAAATGTAAAATAGAATTATAAGTAGATTAAGAGATAAATGTATTTTCCTAGTGGTCTATATTACAAAATTGCAGCCATATATTCCTAATTGTTTTCAAATTTGGTACCAATTTGTAGATGATGTTAGACTTTTTTTTTAAGTTTCCTTAACCTTAGCCAAAAGAACTTGTCATAACATATCTTGTAGAAAACTAAAATGTTGTGCTTTATATGCTTTTTTCTGTCCATTGTATGTCATGTCATGATCAAAAAGGGCTAATTTATTAAATGGACTCTTTCATCTTGAGACAATATGTTATATGCATATGTGTTCACTTCCTCATATGGCGATATCTCTGTTTTTGACAATCTTCAGACCTCTTTTTATATATTTTTAGCTTGTTCAATACTATGACAAAATAAAAAAGGGTGTGCTTTTCACAAAAGTGTTGAGATCTGATTTTCCTTTACTGATCTATACTCCTATGGACATTTAAGATAGAGTATGGCATTAAGACTAAATAGTTTGGTTCTGCAGCAGATTGACCGACGAAGCATAGTATGAACTAAAGAAAAGGACTTAATACAATCCAACACACTCTCACTCCATAAACGTCCAGGAGCGATGCTTGGTCAGGGTCCCGAGGCGTGCAGTTGGGATGCGCCGAGGCTCCTTCAGCTTCATAAACAGACGCAAATAGCTTTCAACTGATTGCAATGTATTCCCATCTGCGGCGGGATTTGACGCTTAGGGAAGCACGGCATTCGTTTGTATCGGCGGCTGTTAAAGGCAATGTGATCGTCCATTCCCATTGGATAACGGAGAATTGTACACCCGGAAGTAAGTATTCCCCTTACTGTCGATTGATTTGACAGTGATATCTCCAGTCGGTCGCCGACAACAACACGGCACTCGATCAGCTGTTTGGGATTATTGATAAAACCGAGACTTCACGGCCAGATGCGGCGTTCGTTGTGGCCGGAGATTTCAACACCGCCAACATGAAGAAGGTCTTGCCAAAATCACATCAGCTGCCCGACGCGCGGGGGAAACATACTGGACCATGTTTATTCCCCTTTTCGAAATGGATATAAGGCTCTCCCTCGCCCTCCCTTCGGCAAATCAGACCACATCTCACTGCTGCTGCTGCCTGCTTACAAGCAGAAACTTAAAAGGGACAGACCGGTAACAAGGACAGTACAGCGATGGAGCGAGGAGTCAGATGCAGCACTGCAGGATTGCTTTGCATCTAAGGATTGGAGTGTGTTTGAGGACAATAACATCAACACACACACGGACACTGTCATCTGCTACGTTGGGAAATGCATCGATGACGTGGTACCGAAGGTTTGTGTACGAACATTCCCAAATCAAAAGCCCTGGATAAACTGCGAGGTGCGCGGCAAGCTGAAAGCGCGCACTATCGCGCACAGAGCTGGAGATTTGAAGGAGTACAGGAAATCTAGGTACGATCTCCGGAGAGCAATTAACAATGCAAAGAGACAGTACAAAGAGAAGGTGAAATCTGACTTCAAAGGCTGTAACACCAGGAATATGTGGGCGGGACTAAGAACAATGACAGACTACAAAGGAGCAGCGGGGGGTGCTGCGGGAGTGTCTGCGTGCGCATCTCTCCCAGATGAGCTGAACAGTTTTTTTGCACGCTTTGAGAGCAGCCAGGCTGTGGAGGTACAGATGGACCAGGAGCCAGAGCCCTGCCCTTTTGTTTTAAACAGGGCAGATGTGTGTAAATCCTTTAAAAGGGTTAACCCACACAAGGCTCCTGGACCTGATGGCATCCCTGGCCGTGTTCTCAGGGTGTGTGCAGTTCAGCTGGCAGAGGTGTTCACAGACATCTTCAACAGGTCCCTGCTGCAGTCTGTAGTCCCCACATGCTTCAAACACTCCACTATCGTTCCTGTCCCGAAAAAGACAATAATCACCTGCCCCAACGACTACCGCCCAGTAGCACTCACCTCCATCATAATGAAGTGCTTTGAGCGGTTAGTCAAATCATTCATCACCTCCTCCCTCCCTGACTCTCTGGACCCCCTGCAGTTTGCCTACAGAGCAAACAGGTCCACAGACGACGCCATAGCCCTCACCATCCACACTGCCCTCTCACACCTGGACCCGAAGAACAGGAACACATATGTGAGAATGCTGTTCATTGACTACAGTTCAGCATTCAATACCATTGTGCCCTCCAAGCTGGCCATCAAGCTCAGAGATCTCAGCGCCCTCTGTGACTGGATCCTGAGCTTCTTGACGGGCAGACCCCAGGCATTGCGGGTGGGAAACATCACATCCTCCACCCTGATTCTCAACACTGGTGCCCCTCAAGGCTGCGTGCTCAGCCCTCTCCTCTACTCCCTGTTCACTCACGACTGTGTGGCCACACACAGCTCCAACACCATCGTGAAGTTTGCTGATAACACGACCGTCATCGGCCAGATCACAGACGATGACGAGACGGCGTACAGAGAGGAGGTCGAAAACCTGACATCTTGGTGTCAGGATAACAACCTCCATCTCAACATCAGCAAAACAAAGGAGCTGATTGTGGATTACAGGAAGCAGCAAGGAGAGGGACACGCCCCCATCGCCATCAATGGGACTATGGTGGAGAGAGTCAGCAGCTTCAGGTTCCTTGGGGTCCACATCACTGAGGACCTGACATGGACTCATCACACCACCACCATCACCAAGAAAGCTTGACAGCGGCTCTTCTTCCTCCGCAGGCTGAGGAGGTTCAAAATGGATTCCAGGATACTCTGCAACTTCTACAGGTGCACGATAGAGAGTATCCTGACTGGCAGCATCACGGCCTGGTACGGCAGCTACACCGACCTCAATCGTAAGGCTTTACAGAGGGTGGTGAAAACTGCACAGCACATCACCAGGACGGAGCTGCCATCCATGGAGGACCTTTACTCCCAGCGGCTCAGGAAGAAATCACTACGGATTATCAAAGACCCCCATCACCCCAGCCACAAACTGTTCTTTCTGTTGCCGTCTGGCAGACGTTACCGCAGCATCCTGGCAAAGACAAGAAGATTCGGAGACAGTTGCTTCCCGCGGGCAGTGAGACTGTTAAACAATTGAACTGCTGAAACAACTTCAAAACATTCATCTGCTACTCAGTAATATGTATCTAATATCTAATATATATCATTCCAATAACTTGTATATAGACTCGTACTGCACTATTCCACATGCTCACTTTATTTTATAACTATTTTTCTTTTTGTATTGCTCTTGCTATCTGTATTGTTATTATGTTGCATTGTTGGAGAAGCCTGTGACATAAGATTTTCAACAACATAATTACTCTGTAGCTATGTCAGTTTGACAATAAAGAACCTTGAACTACTCATCAACTCAAAAACACCAGATTATCCTTGTTAATTAAACGACATTGATAGGTTTTAGTGTACAATGCTTTTGTCACGTTTTCCCCTTCAATTCTGAGAAACAAGTCGTTTTCTATGAGTTTTGGATGGCCGAAGACATTACATTACCCACAATCCTCTGTAGCAACCATAGACTGTGGGTGTTTCTCAATCGCGAGTAAAGCTGCTGCAGAGCCACTATTTCAAGCATACTACGTCATCGACTGCCGCTGAAGTACTGTTCCAATCTCCAGCATACTTGGAAATCTACCGAGCCCGGCGTACTCCGTTTGGAGAAATATCGAGGCTGCACATGAGTAGACTCCGCGGTCCACTTAAAATCCCCACAATGCTTTGCGCACGGACCAATTTCCCCAAATCTGTGGCGGAAGATGTAAGGCGGGGCCTCTCATATGACGCACACCTGCACACTTGCTAGCCTGTTCCACTCTTTGTTTTCCGAATGGCAGGAAGTATTCTTGCCTCGCTTCTGAAGCAAGATGCTCGGCAGACATGTGCTACCAAGCAAGCGTACTCGCGATTGAGAAACACCCTGTATATTGCAACAGGCAACAGCTTCGGTTCATGTTAATTTGCAAACTCTTCAACTACAACCGTAGTTATATTTAAAAACATGTTAGAAGGCCTCACGAAATACTTTAATGTAAATTTAAATTTAAATGTGAAGGAATGTGTGTATATTAACTGTGGGTTTTTCTCTGGAAGTTTTTCCTTGTACGATGTGAGGGTCAAAGGACAGAGGATGACGTTTTTCTCATACTGATATTCCGCTATGCACGCTGGGATTTGGTGTTTATGCGATGTGAAATCCGAAAACATTTAAAAAAAATTAAATAATACATTATTCCGAGTGTGCTTGCCTTTCTCTTTGAAAGTCATCACATAACGGAATTGTAATACACGTTTCGGCTGCATTAAATATGACATATCTGCCGTAGTTGTCTATTTATAGAGCCCTGATGAGAAGACTTCTAGACAAACAGGAACAACTGCCGCCAAAACTGAAAACTTGACGTGGATCTTAAATATATAAGCAATTAAACAACATCTTACATTTCTTTTCACACAATACGTTTCCTTGCAGTATCAACACTAATTCGGCTGACTTTTATATTTGATCCAATTGGTAGATAGGCTGTATTTAAGCCATAACGGTGCACAGCTGAGAGAAAGGGACACCTACTGGTTAAAGCACGTTATTGCATTTTATAATTTTATTATTAGATATTAATAGGATCCCTATAAAGTATATTCTTTACTCGTCGTTATTCTCTACTAATAGTTAATTAAAGACTGTATATAATGACTATTTTGCACATCCCTTTCAAGATTTCAAGATTTTCTAAGGTTTATTGACATATATTATACACAACTACGGTGTAGTTATGCAATGAATGAAAAACTTGGGTCGCAGGTTCCTCAACAGTGCATTACAAGACATCTATCAATATGTGTGTATACCTCCACCATTACATTGTCATATTCTGCACATTTCTTATACTATCTACATATATCTTATAAGTGTATAATACATATGTATAATATCAGTTAAAATAAGTGCTTAAACATAGTTAACATTGCAGGAAAGCAATATATTAGACGTTAAGTACTTTGTCAGGCTTAATATTTATATGTGTGCAATCATAATAGGAATGTGTATACAGCGTTTCGTGAATATCGGAAAAACTATATGCGAGCAGTTTGGAGCAATTTGCGACATGTAAATCGTCAAAAATGGTGTATTCGCTGTTAGCTTACGACCTCCACAAGTGATTTTTCAAAAATGTGCTCCGCAATTAAGTATCATATTGGATAGGGGCTGAACTTGTCCTGGATTGGAATTGTTTCGATCATTCCCCTAGGAGGAGTTCGCAAGAATGTGCTTAAAATGCATGAAAAACGCACATTTTTGAAAATGGCCGACTTCGTGGGGGGCGGGGCTAATAGAAGCTATATACAAATATGTATGCAATTCCATGAGGAATGTCTGTGCCAAAATTCGTGAAGTTATGAGAAACTATATGTGACTACCACACAATAGGGGGTGCTCGTGAGCAGTTTTTTTGAAAAATTACGTTGATTTTTTAGATTCTCGAAAAGGTCGTGGGCTCTGATGTGTGTCCCAAGTTTTGCGTCATTTTATGCTATCGCAATCTAAAAAAAATTGTATAGGCCACGCCCACATTCTGCATTTGTTGCGATACTTTAAATCTGAGTTCGTAGTCACCCCCAGAGTATGTTTAAAACATTTTTTTTTAAATTCGTCCATACATTCTTGAGTTATAAATTGGTGGTGTTTTTGGTGCCCCCTATAGTCCTTAATGAAAATTCTTTGGTGTGCCTATTCCCCAAGAAAGACTGAACCTATCCACCAAAATCTGTGATGTTTGTATACATTGTTGATGAGTTATGAGCATTTCTTTCTAAGCCCTGCCTTTTTGCGAGTACGTTTTGATTCATGGTGGCAATATCTATCGTCTGAACATGCTAATTTTGTACGGTAATGTGTCTGACCCTCCACCGATGCTGTATACGAAGTTTGGTGTTGAAAAACTGAAAATTGAAATTTAAGTGAATATTTAACTGTTTATGTAAGTTATGCTAATTAAAAAAACTAAAATGTAGGCGGAGCTTAGGGTTCCATGAGGATTATTTGTAGAGCAGGTCCACCCGGATATGTGTGCAAAATTTCAGCTCATTCGGAGTTACGGTGCGACTTTGTAAATTTATTCCGAAATGGGATTTTGATAGGTGGCGCTAGCGAGCAGGTTGGAATATTTAACCCATTGACTCCAGAATATAAAAATGTTCACCGGTCCTGGCGTACGTGCAAAATTATACAACTTTTGAAGCATCCTAAAGACCTCAAAAACAGGAAACAGTAGCAGAAAAATAACGAAGAATAATTCCACGAAGAACAATAGGTTCCTCGCACTTCGTGCTAGGACGCCGTTGGGTCCTAGCGCTCCATGCTCGGGCCCTAAATATTAAAGCATTTCAATCCATAGAAAGGTCTGTGCCACGCAATTTCAGTAGAAACAGGAACACTTTATTGCCCTTTTGTTTTGTTGAAATACTATTTCATAATAATTGTAGAGTATTTATTTAATTAATTCTGGCACCTTTGGTATTCCATAGTTGTTACACATCACAGTTTTAAATCTTTCCACACTCTACAAATGACAAAATAAAATAGAAATAACACACATGAATAAATATGTATTGGATTACATCCAAAATGACACCGTCATTTTCCACATAGCTGACACTAGCCCGCCAAACCCTGGCAAGCAACTGAAACCAGCTAGCCCACAGCTAGTTAGCTACTATTCCTGAAAAGTTCGGTTTTAACATCAGAACTACAAGTTACTTACACAAAGAAGCTAAACCGGAGGGTTCATTAACATTACCATTACGAAATAAAATAATATAGATTACTTTAGGGCTAACTAGAAAAGATACCAGAACTGATGGAGGGCAAATTAAAACATGACTGACCTGCTTGGAGCATCAAGCTAACTGAAGCTGGACTCAGACGTGCGACAGCGAAATACACCCCCGGGTACAAAATAAAGGTATGCATAAACAAACAAGGCGGAACCAATTTACATATGAAAAGAATATATCATTTTGGTGAAGTTCACAATAACAGAACATAAAGATTTTCAAGTATACAAATAGCCAAAATAAAAAAGTCATAGAATAGCAATTTTATTTTAATTAAAAAATTAAAATGTTTTTGCTATTTATTGGGGGGGACATTTTGAGTATATATGAATATTGGGGGGGATGTGTCCCCCCCAATGTATATGGTGAATTCGGCCCTGGTATAAAGTATAAATGTGAAGCCTGCTAACAGCATTCACTCATTCTCTTGATTTAATGGGGGGCTTATAGTGCAGACAGGTCAAAGTAAAGCAGAGGGACTTTTTCTGCTTCATAGGGATGTCACAGTGGGGTGCTCTGGTTCAAAAGTAGGTACTCTTAGACCTTTTTGTGAAGTATCTATCTTAGTGCAGCAGCCTTTGTGGTTTTAGGATGTAACTCTGTTTGCAATCTTACATAGATGCTCCTTAAAAGGCCACTTGCAGTGCAATTACATTAATAGGAAGAATATTTATCAGGTCACATTTAACAGTATTAAAACTACAAATAATTGTGTAATTAATTCTATTTTGTTTGGAATATTGCTGATTATAGGTATTAACAAGTATTTTAAGCAATTAGTTTCATATAAAAGGCATGGCTACAATAAAAAAAATGTTGATGTCTCAATCATTAATAAGACCTTGGCCTACAGAAATAAGCCCATGGTAGAAAGAGTTTATTTTCGAACAACTTCAATAATCCCTAATAGATTTACATTAGATTATTGTACAATTGTTTTATTGCCAATTTATATTTTCCACATACGTCTGACCCATGTAAACACAGGAACAGTATATGTGAATAATTTGGTAACTTGACACTTTTGTCCAATATGCATTACATTTCTCACATAAACATATATTGGGGCAACATGAATGTCTGTGTCTCAATCCAAGTAAATGCCATTCAATTTAAAGTAACAACAAACCTGTTGTATGAATTTAGCTAAGCCGAAGCCTAAAGCACATCTGCAACTAACTTGTTACCCTTTCCTATTATATTCACAGCACTACTATGGTGAAAACTATGTGTACACGCAGTTTATTCTCCCTGATTTTAAATATGAGACTAAGATAAAGAGCCATTGTGTTCTTCATTCACCTTTCACCAAGTGAATCTTCTCAAGAACCAAACTTGAAACTATAGATGGCAGTGAACATGTGATCAAGTTTTTTAAAAGTAGGATGTACAATGTCACTTCAGGCTGGCCAATCAAACGCAGTCTTGTTTCTTAAGAGTGAAGAAGGTTTCAAGATCATTTTCACTCAACTCAAGAATTCGAACAAGATGACGTCTCCAAAGTTGGTCTTATATCTGACGTGTTTGTTCTTAGGAACAATCGGTGAGTTGTATTTTAATGCAGCTTTTTCTTTTCAGCAGCTTTTCATGGAAATGCTTTCAATAGTTTTCATGTACAGTACTTGCTGAATTCATCCAATCTTATTAATTGTTTATTTCTTTCACTCTTATTTCAGCTCAGACGACTGATCTGAAACTATCTTCAAGTGTTCGTCAAGATAAACGTTTTATATCAGCTAAGGTTGGAGAAAATGTGACTTTGCGATGCTTCTATAAAGCTGGTGATACAAGTTGGATTTACTGGTACAAACAAACTCTGGGACAGAAACTGAGGCTCATCTCTTCCGCTTATCTGTATGATGCAAGTCCCACTTTTTATGATGAATTCAACAACAAGTCACGCTTTACACAGGATAGAGGAAATAGTACAAATCAGTTGACAATTTCAAATGTGCACATTGCCGACTCAGCTACCTACTACTGTGCAATTTTCTCAAAATTTGTCTTCGATTTTGCGGAAGGCTCTTTTATCGATGTTCAGGGTTCAGGTTTGAACATCACAGCTTCAGTCCATCAGTCAGAATCTGAGATCATCCAGTCAGGAGACTCTGTGACTCTGAACTGTACAGTACACACTGGCAGCTGTGATGGAGAACACAGTGTTTACTGGTTCAAAAACTCTGAGCACTCTCCAGGACTCATTTACACCCGTGAAGGCAGGAATGATCAGTGTGAGAGGAAACCCAACACACAGACACACACCTGTGTGTACAACCTGCCAATGGAGAGCCTGAATCCTTCTCATGCTGGGACCTACTACTGTGCTGTTGCCTCGTGTGGACATATACTGTTTGGAAATGGGACCAAGCTGGACTTTGAAGGTAAGCTATTTACTAGATTATTTAATGAAGAGTAAATTATGGCCAAGTGAGATTTAAAATGAACAACAAGATAAAAGCTGACCGTTCCATTTTTGGTGTGTACTCTCTACAGATGAGGTTGACTCTCTTGTGTATTTCTTGAGTGGAGCTTTGGCGTTCAACTCCATTCTGGTCGTTTTACTGGCTTTCTTAGTGTACAAGATGAAAAAGAGAAACAACTGTCAATCAACAGGTAACTTCTACCTATTGTTTTTTTCTTCCGGAAGCTTGCATTCACTCAATACAACTCTTTACTGAATAATTGTTCTCCATGTTGCCAATCAGAGTCTGAAGCAAGATTATCTACAGCAAATACAGAGGTGAAAATGATCTCATAAATTAAAAATGTTATCGCAGAATTTTCTTTTATTCAATATCCTGATCCATTTCTTCATATTTTGTTGACAGGGTCCCCGGAACGCAGACAGCCTCCATTATTCTGCTTTAAGGGTCAATGTGCCCAACAGAATAAGACGACAGAGGAACATCCCCAATGATGAATGTGTGTACTCTGGTGTCAAGCTGTAGACAAACCATGTTTCATTACTTATGTTTAACAAAATTGGATTTAGTCATGTTTTAAAAGTAACACGGTAATGTATAAGTAATGAAGAGATACATTTGTGTATATCTTATTGGTTTGCAGTGTAAAAGATGCAGCAAAGAACGTATTTACACCTCATGAATTATCCCCCGTGCCAAAAGTCCTGATGCCCCTCATGTAGTATGCTGGATTGACAAGACCGCTTTTCACATCTTGGCGATGTAGTTAATATTGGACGGTTTTTGATGATACAAACAAGTTTTCCTTAACCCCTTAAAAACGTTGCCAAATGCTGAACATATGATTTTTTATACTAATCATACCTTAGTTTCATTCATACATATTTTGGACAACGCAATAATTGTGTGCATTCTTATGTCCTTTGTATGTCATGTCATGTCATGATCACAAGGGGCTAATTTATTAAATGGACTGTTTGATCTTGAGACAAATATATAATGAGCATGTGTGTTCACTTCCTCAAAGGCCATATCTCAGTTTTAAACAATCTTCAGACCAATTTTTATACATTTTTAGATTGTTCTAAACCCCAAAAAACTAATTGTGTATATTTCAAAAGAGTGCGGGCGGAACTTTGACGTTCATTCTCAGAACCATACCTCAATGAAAATCTAAAAGCTATAGTATGGAATTAAAACAAAGGAGTTCAGTTATATATGAGATTGATCGACAAAACAGAGTCTGAACAGAAAAGAAGAACTTAAATACAAACTAATCAGATGAGGGGGTGAAGTGCAGGTGGACTGTGGGTGTTTCTCAATCGCGAGTAAAGCTGCTTCAGAGCCACTATTTCAAGCATACTACGTCATCGAGTGCCGCCGAAGTACTGTTCCAATCTCCAGTATACTTGGAAATCTACCGAGCCCGGCGTACTCCGTTTGGAGACATATCGAGTCTGCACATGAGTAGACTTCGCGGTCTTAAAATCCCCACAATGCTTTGCGCACGGACCAATTTCCCCAAATCTGTGGCGGAAGATGTAAGGCGGGGCCTCTCATATGACGCACACCTGCACACTTGCTAGCGTGTTCCACACTTCGTTTTCCGAATGCCAGGAAGTATTCTTGACTCACTTCTGAAGCAAGATGCTCGGCAGACATGTGCTACCAAGCAAGCGTACTCGCGATTGAGAAACACCCAGAAACTCAGGTTTCTGCAGGGTTAATATGGGACAGGTGAAACTAATAAGGCCAATCAAAACAGCTTTGGAAACGGAGAAGAAGCTGATTGGCTGGAAAGACTAATAAGGCTGATTCAGAGCAGGTGTGAAGATGGGCAAAGGCAGCACAGGAACACCAACGGAAAAACACAAGACAGGAAGTCAAACCAGGAATTAATTTTTTTCTAAATAAAATAGGAAAAAACGAAGAAAAACAAGGATCATTACAGTTCTAATACTGAAAGCAAGTTTGATTCGCTTGATATAAAACTAAAAAATACATTAAATTATGCAATTTACCATCTATACTGAATTATGAAGATAATCTACACCGGATCACACAATAGTTTAGCTTTCCTTTAATCAATAAAACTGTCTTAAAGTAACGGTATACACACATTGGCACTACATAAATCCAATGTATAGATAGTTAACTCAGTTGGTGCTTTGAAGATTTGTTTGAACTACTACACAATTAGCATTATTTGATAGAAATTAAGTGTCTATTCCTCTTAGACCTGTTCCCGCCCATACTTTTTGCATTGTATCTCTTTCAGTGTGTTTTTTTACATTTTGTGGTTTTCAGCAGGATGTAACAGTGTCTGCACTCGGTACATCTTAAGCCTAAGACCACTCTAGCAAAGGTCCTTGATCGAAAAATCCACTGTGTTGTTACATAATTATATTTCAAATTAAAATCATTACATCCAATGCCAAGAAATTCTCCCACCATGTCAATGTTTTAAAAATACATATTTTTTACTACAGTTTATGTAGCAGTGAACTGGCCCGACCCATTAAGCGACATAAGCGGCCGCTTAGGGCCCCGCAGCCACTAAGGGCCCCCTTGCAAAAAAAAAAAAAAAAAAAAGTTTTATTTTTTTTATCTCAGTACACCGTTTTTTATCTCAGTACACCGTCGCCGTGATAAGTATGTTTAATTAATGTTGTTAATATGCCTAGATTGCCTACTCTCAAAGTCATGTATTATATGATTGAGTCAATCATATAATACATTAACCGTGCTTTACCTGAACCTCATCATGACACTAGAGAGGACGGCAGGATTGTAATTTCCCGTGTTCAGTGAATGCAACAGAGGCAAGGCACCAGACCAACCAGAGAGAAATGGAATGGAAATAAACATCTGTCTTATTGGCTGACAGGTACCTATCCTGTGAGCTGTGACAATGTTTAAAATAAACTGTCAGTCTCAGACTCAGAGTTTTTGAAGATGGACATAAGAACATTTGTTCTTAAAAAAGATGACAATTCTCAAGTGGTGGTTCACACAACAACCCCAGAGCCAGCACTTGAGCCAGGAGAAAGTTACTTTGAATCGCGGGGGTAAGCTAAACCGTTAGCAAGTAGCTATAGCTAGCCAGATATATTAAATGAACACTTTGTCATACAATCTAAATGTAATGTTTTTTAGCGTTACCTGGTGATTTCAAAGAAAGCTCTCTGGGAAATGTTGACTTACTGTTCGACATGAAGCTAGAAGCTACCTTACAGTACACAGTTGATCCTGAGTCCTGTCAGTTAAAGTGTTTCATAGTTAGCTTAGCTAAGCATCAACCTAGCACTGAAATATATGGATGTTATGTGACAGTATTTCTGAGAAAAAGTCAGCTGAAATGGTGGCATAGTTGCCACTGCTTTACGTGTCGACAGCATGATTGAACGTATTTGCAGCAGTAAATGTGGCTGTTTGGCCACTGACGTTGCCATCACAACACCTGAATTTAAATGTGCAACCTCTTTTTGTGACAGATTTTTGCATGAAATTATAATTCTTCTGAATGATATTCCTATTGACAGCTAGTTTTTATGTGAACATTATGAGATGGACAGCCAGAGAGAATCAATGAAAAACAGTTATGAAATACTATATGACAAAACAAGAATACAGTTTAAAAGGGGAGTGATTTGTAAAATATCCTATAAAGAAAAATCTGTTTACAGTTCTGTTTCATATGGGTGTTGAGAGATGTATCCATAGATCTCTAAATTTTGCTCTCAAAGTGCACCAGATTGATGCTTTTAACTTCAATATTTAAAAAAAAATCTTGTTGTTAGGTCCACGGTGTTTACATGCTTATTTATACAATATGTGTACTTATGCTAACATCATAAGACAAAAGTTGGTTCCGTGTTGTGTGAAGTGAGAACGCGCTAGAGTGAGGGGGGCCCCCAAGCCAAAGCTCGCTTAGGGCCCCCAAAAGTATAGGGCCGGCCCTGAGTGAACACGTGATCACATTTCCTAAGTAGGACATGGTCACTTCAGATTGGCCAACCAAACCTAGTTTCGTCTTTTAAGAGGAGAGGCATGATCAACATTCTTTTCATTTCACACATGAAATTGAACATGATGACATTTCCGTTGTTTGCTCTCTTTTGCACCCGTCCGTGCTTGGGGATAATGGGTGAGTTGTATTTATTTCTACTCAAACGTGCTCTCTTACAAATATTCATCATTTTAGAAAATGAAGTGATTATGCTAAAGATTCTCACATTAAATTATTACATTTGTCTTGTTTCATTTCAGCCGAGACGACTAACCGGACATTGTCCACATCTGTTCGTGAAGACAGAGGTTTTGTATCAGCTAAAACAGGGGAGAACTTGACTTTGCCATGTTTCTATGAAGGCATTGTTGCTGCAAGGCTTTACTGGTATAAGCAAACTGTTGGGCAGAAACCAAATCTCATCTCTACATTCTATATGTATAACAAAAACATAGATTTCTATGGTGAATTCAATAACAATTCACGCTTCACACTGAATGCTGAAAAAGGGAAAGGTAAAAACCACTTGACCATCACAGACTTACGCGTATCAGACTCCGGTACTTATTTCTGCATAAATTGCTATCTATACACGTTAGAAATTTCCCAGAGCACTCTAGTCGACGTTAAGGGTTCAGATCTGACAGCTTTAGTCCATCAGTCAGCATGTGAGACTGTCCAGTCAGGAGGCTTTGTGACTCTGAACTGTACAGTTCTCAATGGGAGCTGTGATGGAGAACACAGTGTTTACTGGTTCAAAAACTCTGAGGACTCTCCAGGACTCATTTACACCCATGGAGGCAGGAATGATCAGTGTGAGAGGAAACCCAACACACAAACACAAACCTGTGAATACAACCTGCCAATGGAGAGCCTGAATCCTTCTCATGCTGGGACCTACTACTGTGCTGTTGCCTCATGTGGACACAAACAGTTTGGAAACGGGACCAAGCTGGACTTTGAGGGTAAGTAACTTTCTAGCAGAGGTTGTTGCAGTTCTCATTGGTACTGTCTTACCAAACTTTGGATAAAAACCTACTGAAAGCTCTGCTTCTCTCTACAGGTGGCGTGGACTCTGGTTTCTTGGTGCATTTCTCGAGTATAGCTTTGACATTCACCACCATCCTGAGTGTTTTACTGGCTTTCTTAGTGTGCATGATGAACAAGAAAAACAGCTGCCAATCAACAGGTAACTTGTACGGTTTGTATCTTATGGCTTGATTTTGCAGAATTTGGCCTTTGATTAACCTGTTAAGCACCAAGCCTGTTTTTCATGTTTCAGGCTCGAAAATGACATGCCCAAAACAAATGACTACAACTTAACTTCTAAAAGGGTTATATGAATAATTTCTTTTATCAAAGCAAGGTTACATCTGTAAGTTGGATGTAGAAGTGTCAGAATCAATATAGATGTTTTTTATTTTAAAGAAAATTCAGATTTTACATAGTAAAAAACTGTAAATTATAGTGTCCGTCCAAATATTCTTTTTTACTTATAGTGAAAACTACCCTTGGATGATGGGTTAGTAGACTAAAAGCTTTAGGAATCCAAAGTACAACATATAATAAGTACTCTGTATCAAGATTGATGCAAAACAAGTGACATTTGACCTTTTTAGAGAGGTTTAGCCAAAACCACCCCACCTCTGAGGTGATTTGGGTGAAAATGTTTTTTTTTCCATATCTCTGGCCCCCCTTGGTCGATTTGATGGTTGACACCTCTTTCTGACCGTTAGAGCCAATAGAATCGAAGGGGGAGGCCCCCACACACACACGTTGTGAAGAGAAAAGGTGGGGGCTGCGCGCATGTAATTTTGCAGCAGAGTGGACCGATCTCTCGCTCTGACATTTGGAAACGAAAAAGCAGTTTTATTGCTTATGGATTATCAGAAATCATTTCAAAGAGGACACAGACACATTGGATTAACCTATGGATTAACTGCAGCATAGTTTTTTTATCGTTTTAATGCCATTGAAGACCAGTTTTGACCAAGGTAAGCCATGTTAGCGTTTCTAGCTACCTAGCTCCACATGTTATGATGTACGCTTTCGTTTATAGCGTTGCAAGGGCACCCCCAGATTCTGTGTCTCCAGGAGATGCAAAACGAGGGGTTGGCTGTGCATCTAGGATAAGTAATAAGGGAGTTATGAGTGAGTTTAGGTGCAGTTTTAGGTTACATTTTTTCGCTCGTGGCTAATTCAGAGGCTGAGTGTTAGCATTGTGGGTTTTTTTTTGGAAAAAAAAAATTAAAAAGATCAGTTAGCTGAGTTTCTTCCCGTTACATGGATATAAAACATTCATAGTTTATTAAATATTAAGATTCCTTAGACGTTGTTTCCTGCAAATGACGCGTTTATCCGCCCGGTACCGGGGGGGGCGGTGCGTAACAGGTTAAAAAGAACCATTTAAGTTTTTTCCAGTTCCGTCCACAGCAGAAGCCGAAGTGAGTAAAATCAGTTGACCATAAATAACTGCTAAATTACCATTTAAACACCCTATTCCTTCCAAATAATTTTCCTAGAAATAGTTTTTATATTTTGCAGGATCACAATAATGATCTACTTATAGGCCTATATATTGTGTTCAAATCAAATCAAATCAAATCAAGATTTATTTATATAGCACATTTTTAAAAGATTTTTGGTCGAGCCAAAGTGCTGTACATATTATAAAAATACCCTACAGTAAAGACACTTTACAGCAAATACAACAGCACAGTTTGTTCAGAATATCAGTATGAGAAAAAACGACACCCTCTGTCCTTAGACCCTCACATCGTACAAGGAAAAACTTCCAGAGAAAAACCCACATTTCAAAGGGAAAAATGGGAGAAACCTCGGGGAGAGCAACAGAGGAGGGATCCCTCTCCCAGGACGGACAGACGTGCAATAGATGCCGTGTGTAAGAGATAATACATTTTACAGCGTAGGTAGACCGAATGTTTGGAAATGCATGTGTCTATAATAAGAAAATGAATCCACGAAGATGTCAACAACAATCCTGTGGGAGCCATCAGGGAAGCAGCATGACGAGACACAGGCAGGACCGCAGAGACAGGCGACCCGAAGTCCACGACTTAATCCAGAACTCAGGATAGAGGATCCAGGGCACAGGACCACAGCAAGAGGATCAGCCTCGACTCCGGATCCCGGCGTAGATATAGACACAAAAAGAAAAATTTGGCTGGGTTAATCGGAACATGAGAATACATAGACACAGACAGACAGAAGGAAGAACAAGCACTCCCTTAGGATAGGTTAATGGAAAAGGGTAGCAAGTAAGAGAGTAAGAAACAGAGGTGGAGAGGCACACGCAGGGAACAAAGGCCCCACTGGAGCCTTAGTTGGAATTTAGCAGAGGTAGGGGTAGGGAGGAAGCTGTGAATACGGTCATAACACAGTGCAGGAGTACCAACATGGAGAAAAGATCTACTATGCTGCTTTAGGTGTCAACCTGAAAAACAGATCAAGAAGACAGAGGGATCCAACCTGGAGTGAATGTGTGTATTACAGCGTAAAGCAGTAGAACCTGACATGGTGCAATTTGTACTTTTGAGTAAAACATGTGTTTTTGTTTTCTCTTCCTTGTGGTCCGTAGCAAAAAAAGAAAATCTATTCTTCGTTGATGTACATTTTAGCATAGTATTTTTCCACTTTGTGGTCGAAGCAGGATATGTCCGCAACGTTCTTTCAAATAAACCATCTATCTAAAGATATATGCTTTTTTTAGTACTTGTGAATACATGTATGACTTAACCAGTAGCCTATATTTAGAAGTTAAGATGCTGTAAAAGTCACTTCAATACTTTTAAATTTAGGATCATCTTATTATTTTTATTATCATTGTTTTTTACCAAATCAAATGTGTAATTTTGTTTGTGCAATTTCTGTCATTAATCCAATAAACATCAAAATTCGGAACAATACTGTGTGTGTCTTCTTGTTAAATCCAACAGCTTTTCTTCGCACTAGTAGCACCGTTTTTATTTGAAAACGTGGGTTCCCTAACCCAGGGGTTCCCAAAGTGGGGGGGTCGCGAGATGATTAAAAATAAAAAAATATTATTATTATTATTATTATCCAGTGTTTCCCACATAATTTGATTCTACTTGTAGGGGCACCGCACCCCCCCGCCCATGCAAATGAGCCATAATCTTATTAAATATGTGCATATTTAAATACTTTCAGGAACACAATTCTGAACTTGGATAAAGTCAGGTTCGAAATTCTTGTTTCATTTTGTAGTCATAATACAATCTAAAGTTTTTACAGAAGGGATTCTGGATATCTCTTTTTATAACTCCATAAATCTAAAAATACTGTTAACAGCCCTAAAATATCAATTTTCCCCATGTTTTTAGGTATACAATGTTATATAATTCAGGCTATGAATTATATATAAACAAACCCTTTCGGAAAAACCTTCAGAATATTGATAGGAATATAACTGGAAGGTTTGGTGTATGTACGTGCTACTGAAGTGAACATTTCTCACTCAGAAGAGGAGAAAAAACTCATTTTGAGAAAACGACCTTTAAAGATTGCTGTGAGGCACTACCTAAACCCTGCTGTTCTTTGGATGACAGCTTGCGCATCGACGCACTCCGTGAAGGTATTTCGTGTTTCGGGATCATTCGTTTTTTGTCTAACATTGCTTCGTGCAAGTGACAATTGTTGTTGTCTTCTCTATGAACGTTTTTATCAATGTTCTTTTGTCATTTTGAGGTTTAAATTTCCAGCGAAAGCTAAACCAAGAAGTGTTTTAGCACACCACGTGATGCATCTGAACTAATCACGTTGTCAGAAATTGGCACCAGCCAATGAGATTTAGTTTTTTGGTTTAACCTGTTAAGCACCAAGCCTGTTTTTCATGTTTCAGGCTCGAAAATGACATGCCCAAAACAAATGACTACAACCTAACTTCTAAAAGGGTTATATGAATAATTTCTTTTATCAAAGCAAGGTTACATCTGTGAGTTGGATGTAGAAGTATCAGAATCAATATAAATGTTTTTTATTTTAAAGAAAATTCAGATTTTACATAGTAAAAAACTGTAAATTATAGTGTCCGTCCAAAAATTATTTTTTACAGATAGTGAAAACTACCCTTGGATGATGGGTTAGTAGACTAAAAGCTTTAGGAATCCAAAGTACAACATATAATAAGTACCCTGTATCAAGATTGATGCAAAACAAGTGACATTTGACCTTTTTAGAGAGGTTTAGCCAAAACCACCCCACCTCTGAGGTGATTTGGGTGAAAATGTTTTTTTTTTCATATCTCTGGCCCCCCTTGCTCAATTTTGATGGTTGACACCTCTTTCTGACCGTTAGAGCCAATAGAATCGAAGGGGGAGGCTCCCACACACAGACGTTGTGAAGAGAAAAGGTGGGGGCTGCGCGCATGTAAATGTGCAGCAGAGTGGAGGGACATTCTAGCTCTGGCATTTGGAAACTAAAAAGCAGTTTTATTGCTTATGGATTATCAGAAATAATTTCAAAGAGGGCACAGATACATTGGATGAACCTATGGATTAACAGCAGCATCGTTTTTTTATCGTTTTAATGCCATTGAAGACCAGTTTTGACCAAGGTAAGCCATGTTAGCGTTTCTAGCTACTTAGCTCCACATGTTATGATGTACGCTTTCGTTTATAGCGTCGCAAATGTTTATCACTGAGTGTTGAGGTTTTTTACACAGATTCAGTGTCTCCAGGACACCAAAAACGAGTGGTTGGCTGTGCATCTAGGATAAGTAATAAGGGAGTTATTGTGAGTTTAAGTGCCGTTTTAGGTTACATTTTTTCGCTCGTGGATAATTCAGAGGCTGAGTGCTAGCATTGTGGGGTTTTTTTTGGAAAAAAAAATTAAAAAGATCAGTTAGCTGAGTTTCTTCCCGTTACATGGATATAAAACATTCATAGTTTATTAAATATTAAGATTCCTTAGACGTTGTTTCCTGCAAATGACGCGTTTATCCGCCCGGTACCGGGGGGGGCCGTGCGTAACAGGTTAAGACCCCTTTGTACTTTCACGATTGGTTGCTGATACAAAGGAAATGACCATATTTGGATCCGATGAGATTGTGCAGGAGAGACGGAGCTTTCCAACGATACCTCTGATTATATGGTGCAAACAGCGGTCACGGTCAGGGACGTGCACAGACATTTTGGGGGGCTGGTCCTCAAATGAGAAAAAGGGCACATCCCATAATCATTTATAACAAAGTGTTTTAAAACAAAAAGTTAAATATAGTTGCACACCTCTGACTTACTGACCAATTTA